CACTCCCTCCTATTATGGTATATGAAAGGCTTATCATCCTCATGTTTTGTGTTCCATATTGCACAGGGCCATTTGGGATTCTTTGTCCTTGGAAAAATTAATAAACAGTATTTTATTAAAATGTTCAGTTGTCACTTTGGGAGGCCGGGGTGGGAGGCTGTCTTGAGCCCAGGAGTTCAAGACCAGCTTTGGTAACATAGTGTGACTCTGTCTCTTAAAAAAGAAGAAAAAAAAAGTTCAGTTGTAAAGCATTGGTAGTCTCTACAGTTGTAGCATGAAGATGTAAGTGTATTGTAATTGAAATGGCTTTGTAATTTTGAAACTGCTTTTATTTTTTGAGACAGGGTCACTGTCTCCCAGCTGGAGTGCAGTGTTGCCATCCGAGCTCACTGCAGCTCAGTCTCCTGGGCTCAAGCAGTCCACCCGCCTCAGCTTCCCAGCTCCTGGGTAGCTGAGACAGCCATCCCGTAACAACCACACCCAGCTAATTATTTTACTTTTAGTAGCGACAAGGTCTCACTACCCAGGCTGATCCCTCACTCCTGAGCTCAAGTGACCCTCTCACCTCAGCGTCTCAAAGTGGTTGAATTACAGCCATGAGCTGCTGCACTGGGCCTGAACTGCTTTTAAAGTGTATGATTGGACACCTGTACTTTGTCACTGCTACCTAGAGATCATTAATGGTAAGCAGGGTGGTTGATGGGCCATGATGGTTCAGAGACGGGCGGCTAAAGAGAATCAAACCGAGAAACAGAAGGGAGTGTATGTTGTGTCCATGAAAGAGAGTGGGAGGAGGGGCTGGTAAAGGAAGGGTGAGGGAGAAGAGAAACACCCATAAACAGTGCCACGGCATGTCAGCTGTTTCATTTTGTGGGTTTATGTGCAGTCTCCACAAATACCTAAAGACAGGTGGCTCACAGCATTGCTACCACTAAGCTAGTTCTATGGAAGGAACAGCTTAACAAAAGCTGTGCTACAAGCAACGTAATCCACCTGTTCCAAGAGAGACTGTCAGGTGATACTTGGACTTTTTTGGTATCTGCTTTTTAAAAATGGGTAAGAACACTAATAGGTTGCCTCACCTGTTCTTAATTTTTTTATTTTTTGAGACGGAGTTTTGCTGTTGTTGCCCAGGCTGGAGTGCAATGGCGTGATCTCGCTCACCACAACCTCTGTCTCCCGGGTTCAAGCAATTCTCTTGACTCAGCCTCCTGAGTAGCTGGGATTACAGGCACACACCACCACACCCGGCTAATTTTGTATTTTCAGTAGAGATGGGGTTTCACCACGTTGGTCAGGCTGGTCTCAACCTCAGGTGATCCACCTGCCTCGGCCTCCCAAAGTACTGGGATTGTAGATGTGAGCCTCCACGCCCAGCCTCCTCTCTGTTTTTTCTTGGGACATCTAAAGACAGTGTCAGGTTGTGATTCCACTTGTGGCCAGGTACATAGGAGAATGTAGAGAGCTTCCGTGTCATGTTCTGTAATCTCCCATAGAACGAGAAGAGGAGGCAAAGATAAGTGACCCTGCAAGGGGCAGCTCACGGAGACCCAGTGAAGGGGACATCTGATCAGTTTGATTTTGAGTCCGCTGTACAGTAAAGCCCCTGAATGCTGATTGGAAAGAAACCTTGGAAACAAGAGCCTGGTGTTGTGCTCTTGCTAGGGCTGATATGGGAATGAGCCAGGACATACAAAGGATTAGTCCAAGGCAGAGTTTCAACAGGTCCTGAGTTCCCTTATTTTTTGGCTTTTATTTTCAACTGGTGTAGCATTAAATCCTTTGTCTCATGTTCCTGGGCCAGCCATCTGAATGTATCAAAGTTCCAAAAAGTGGAATATGTGGCTTTTTCATTTCAGTGTCCTTCAATGGCTCTTGGAGAGAGTCTCTCTGAATTCCGAGAGCCAGGCAACCATCTAAATCATTCTAAGATTTAGAAGCCAGCATCGTCTCCCCTTTCCACAAAATAGGAGTGTACAGCTGCAGTGTTTCAGATGTTGAGAGAGGGGGCTGTCCCTTCACTGGCTGAAATCGATTATAATGTACTTAGGAGTAAAAGGAATACTTTGTGGTTCTCAGCGTTTGAGGACCAGAATACTGTTTGATGCGCAAAGCTTCTATTACCCTGTCTTTCTGATTCAGAGCGAATTCTCAAATCTTATCTTAATAACATAGAAAATACTTCAAATACTGGGGAGAAAAATGGTCAGTCTCAGGAACTGTGAAATCATTTTCTACTTGACGCAAGAGTCCTATTGGAATTAGGCTGCTCTTCCTTAGAAACAAAAAGCATTGCAAATTAAATCTTCAGGAGATGAGCTCTCCAGCCTGCAGGGTTTCTAAGATGTGTATTCTGAATAAGAGAATAATCTTTTATTTTCAGGGTAATTCTACGCTTAATAGGAATTATTATATAAGTACTTTGAAAATTGCATTTGTTTTGTTTTGTTTTGCTTTGCTTTGACACAGGGTCTCACTTCCAGGCTGGAGTGCAATGGCGTGATCTAGGTTCACTGCAACCTCCACCTCCCAGTCTTAAGTGATCCTCCTACCTCAGCCTCCCCAGTAGCTGGGACTCCAGGCATGCATCACCGTGCCCAGCTAATTTTTTGTATTTTTTTTTTGTGGAGACTGGGTCTCACTTTGTTTCCCAGCCTGGTTTCAGACTCCTAGACCCAAGCAATCCACCCTCCTCAGCCTCCCAAAGTGCTGTGATTACAGGTGTGAGCCACTATGCCTGAGCCAGCATGCTTTGTTTTGTTTTAACAGAAAACTTCTACAGGTTAAGAATTCCTGATTTTGATACTGCATAATACTAATACTAAGTTGTTTATGACAATAAGGATATTCTGTCTTCATTAATATTTGGCACTTAACGTAATGTTTTACCTTCCATATTTGATACTGAAAATTTATGAGCCTAAGCCACATTTCCATCACTCCCAATTTGTTAAGCTTCCTCACTATTGAATTTGTTTATAATTCCTTATTATAGGTATACAGTTCTACTTGAGGATTTAAAAGTAAAACAGGGCTGGGCGCAGTGGCTCACGCCTGTAATCCCAGCACTTTGGGAGTCTGAGGCAAGTGGATAATTTGAAGTCAGGAGTTCAAGACCAGCCTGGCCAACATGGCGAAACCCTTTTCTACTAAAGATACAAAAATTAGCTGGGCATGGTGGCACATGTCTATAATCCCACTTACGTGAGAGGCTGACACAGGAGAATCACTTAAACCTGGGAGGCAGAGGTTGTAGGGAGCTGAGATCATACCACTGCACCCCAGCCTGGATGACAGAGTGAAATGCCATCAAATAAATAAATAAATAAATAAACAAATAAATAAATAAATAAATGTAAAACAGTACATAGGCCAAGTTTGTGGAATATGTGTTTCCATCCTACCAGTTTTAAGTTCTATGAAAATATCATCTATGGGATCTTTTCCCTAAATATTAAGACTGGCACTTCAGGAGGCCAGGGCAGGAGGATCACTTGAGGCCAGGAGTTTCAGACCAGCCTGGACAACATAGTGAGACCTCATCTCTACAGAAAAAAATAAATAAATAAATAAAAATTAGGCAGGCATGGTGGTGTGCACCTATATTCCCAGGTATTCAGAAGGTTGAAGCAGGAAAATCACTTGAGCCCAGGAGTTTGAGGCTGCAGTGAGCTATGTTCATGCCATTGCACACAGCCTGGGCAATAGAGTGAGACCCTGTCTCCTTAAAAAGACAAAACTGAACTAAAGCAAGTCTCCCCCTTGTCTGTCACCTCTTACTGCCGTTTGAATTTGTTAGGCTCTCATACTGAAAACAAAGGTTGTCCTCTACGCAGCAGTGAAAATAAGAATAAGCATCGCTTCTGGATCGGGAATCATCTAATTTTCATTTGGTTCACTAATAACCAACATTCAATGAAAAGTCATATGGGTCCTGCACCCTCATGTTGGAAATAGATGCTCAGTGCCACAAAGAAAAATTAGCACTGAGACAAAAGGATTTTTCAGCAATGCAGTCTTTACTTCCTGGACTGCGGGAAGGGTACCCTCACTAGCCATCTTGCCATGAGAGTACAATGAACAAAGGAAAACACACACACTTATCCCTTATGCATTTGGGGTCATCCTTACTGCTGTGTCTGATCTCTGTTGGCTGGAGTCAGAACTCACAATCTAAACTAAAACCTGATTGGCTAACAACGTAAAACTTTTCTAAATAGCAGTGGAGAGCTGGGACATGCCTGTGAGCACACTGATATCTTGGTTGAAGTACAAGGACAGAGAATATACTGCGTGCCTGTAAGCATGGCATGTCTAACAGCTACATAGGATAGGGCTTCATAAAGTTATTAGCACACTTATTCTTTAACAAGAAAGGAAACCTTAAAAAGGAACTTTTCAACTTCCCACACCTCATTACCTTCATATTTGACAAGCATCATTGTCACATATGGGCCTTGTTTGGGGGTCAGTTTGAGGCAGGTGTATCTGGAAAATCAGGTCCAGAGAGTTTCTGTATCTCTGTCTTTCACTGCTCAGAAAGGTTCAGAAACATCCAATAACCACCAAATATTTTTAGCTTCCCCCATACCACATTGGTGGTTACAGTTTCTGGTGTCTCAAAAGAGCTAATCCTTTGATCAATTGGACCACTTTTTTCTTGTGATTCTAAATTGGCCAAGGCCCAGAGTCATTGTGATCCTGAGCCTTGCACCTGGACTGGTGAGTATGGCTCATTGGCCTCTGACTTGGCAGCAGGACTCATGGCCACGCAGATGCTACTTACAGACAGGGCCACATAGCTGAGTCATGCTCCTCGTTCCCAAGCTGGAGCTACTTTGGTTCAGATCCTCGTAAACAGACCCGCGATGCCCAGGTGTGCCCTCTGGGAGCGTTTGCTGAGTCTTCAACCCCTCATTGGCAGTAGGTTTGGACTCATTCGGGCAAAATCCCACCAAGGGCGCAGTCTCAGTGCAACACTCTGTCTTCTGTCTTCTCAGGGTCCTGTAGCATCCACGGCATCAGCGTTTTCTGTCCTGTCTGCTGGGCCTGGCCTTCCTCCACCCCCTCCTCCTCCACCTCCTCCAGGGCCACCTCCACTTTTTGAGAATGAAGGCCAAAAAGAGGAATCCTCTCCTTCACGCTCAGCTTTATTTGCCCAGCTTAACCAGGGAGAAGCAATTACGAAAGGTGAGAAAACAAGACCTCGAAGCTGCCTCCCTTGCCCTCTGGCTCCCAGACACAAAGAGCGGCCAGAGCCGCAGTGACAGATATATCACTCCATCGCTATCCCAAGCATGCAGGGAGAGCGGGGCTGGTGCTGAGAAGACGGGAGCCTGCCGTGTTCTTTGTGTCCATGCAGACGGGCTCGGGGGCCACTGTGCAGACCAGAAGGAAGACCTCGGAGATGCTGGGTTCTAAATGGACCACTGTGCTGCGTCCTTGCCTTACCCCTCGGCACTTCCACATCATCGTCTGCAACCCAGGCATCAAGATCAAGTGAAATAAAAATGGCAGGCTAGGTGTGGTGGCTCACGCCTGTAATCACAGCACTTTGGGAGGCCAAGGAGGGAAGATTGCTTGAGCTCAGGAGTTCAAGTATAGCCTGGGCAACATAGTGAGACCCATTTTTACCAAAAATTAACAGAAATTAGCTTGGCATTGTGGCAGACACATGTAGTTCTAGCTACTAAGGAATCTGAGGTGGGAGGATCCCTTGAGCCCAGGAGGTAGAGGCTGCAGTGAGCTGAGATTACACCACTGCACTCCAACCTGGGTGACAGAGTGAGAACTTGTTTATAAATAAATTAAAATGGCAAACCTTAGCTCCTCTGTCCTGAAGCAGTGTACAGGCTTATCAAAGAATTATATCCCCTCTATACTGGGCTAGGAGCTAAGAATCCCATATTCTAAATTTTTTTCTGGCTCCAACTGGCTCTGCTATGCCCTGTGAAACTCATTTACAAAGTAAAGGAATGGATTCATAAAGTCAGTTCCATATTCCGATATCTACTCATTGGAATGCCTTAACCTTTTAGGCTGTGTCTGGAGAATGATTTAGCCGTAAGAGAAGAAGTAAGACGTGATCCTTTTTCGTGAGGTGGTTTGATCTTTGCAGAATTTTTGTGTGTCATTTTATCTCCCAACAGAAGAAGTTTAAAATAAAAATACTTGGTGGGGTGCCATGGCTCATGCCTGTAATCCCAGCACTTTGGGAGGCCGAGGCAGGCAGGTCACTTGAGGTCAGGAGTTCAAAGACCAGCCTGGCCAACATGATAAAACCCTTTCTCTACTAAAAATACAAGAATTAACCAGGTATGGTGGCGCTCGCCTGTAATCCCAGCTACTTGGAAGGCTGAGGCATGAGAATTGCTTGAACCCGCAAGGCAGAGGTTGCAGTGAGCCAAGATCGTGCCACTGCACTCCAGCCTGAGTGACAGAGCGAGACTCCATCTCAAAAAAAAAAAAAAAAAAACAAACTTACAGTACTGCTATCAACTGTAAACTTATACAGGACTCAGATCCTGCATCCTAACTTGGAGAAAGCACTAGTCTGTTTTGAAAGTGGCATTACTAAAAGTTCTTGTGCTCTTTATAGACACTTGTTGATCTACCAAGTTAGAGACATTTCCCTTTGCATAAACTAAATGTGTCCGTGTGTGTTACCCTCCTAGGGCTCCGCCATGTCACAGATGACCAGAAGACATACAAGAATCCCAGCCTGCGGGCTCAAGGAGGGCAAACTCGATCTCCCACCAAAAGCCACACTCCAAGTCCCACGTCTCCTAAATCCCATCCTTCTCAAAAACATGCCCCTGTGTTCGAGTTGGAAGGAAAGAAATGGAGAGTGGTAAGTGAAGTGCTTTAACCTGTATTCCTGACACGCACCAGTGAGAGGACCAAGAGCCGAACCATGTACCAAGATCCAAAGGATTTCTTTTAATTTTTTATTGATATATAACGTGTACATATTTATGGAGTATCTGTGGTATTTTGTTACATGCGTAGAATGTGTAATGATCAGCTGGCCGGGCGTGGTGGCTCACGCCTGTAATCCCAACACTTTGAGAAGCCAAGGTGGGCGGATCACCTGAGGTCAGGAGTTCAAGACTAGCTTAGCCAACATGGTGAAAACCCATCTCTACTAAAAATACAAAAATTAGCTGGGTGTGGTGGCACACGCCTGTAGTTGCAGCTACTCCGGAGGCTGATGCTGGAGAATCACTGGAACCCAGGAGATGGAGGTTGCAGTGAGCTGAGATCACACCACCTCACTCCAGCCTGGGTGACCAGAGTGAAACTCTGTCTCAAAAAAAAAGAATGTGTAAGGATCAAGTCAGGGTATTTGGGGTGTCCATTACCTTGAGTATTTATCATTTCTGTGTGACGGGAACATTTCAAGGCCTCTCTTCTAGCTACTTTGAAATATATAAAAGTGTTGTTAACTATAGTTACCCTACTCTGCTATTGAAAAGTTAGAATTTAGTCCTTCAGACTATCTGTTTGTATCCATTAACCACCTAAGTGAAGTGACAGAGGAGAAAACCACAGGCTAAAGTAGAAACCAGGGTATTTCTGAATGCTTCCATAAACTTTATTTTCACGAATTCTCATGCATTCTTTTCTTCAACTTTTTAAATTATTTTGTAAGTGGTTGTAAAATACACGTAACATAAAATGAACTGTTCCCCTTGTTTAAGTGTCCAGTTCAGTGGCATTAAGTCTGTTCCCATGGTTGTGCTGCCATCACCACCACCCAGCACAGAACTCTTCTCATCTTGTGGCACCGAAACTCTGTACCCTTAAATAGCTCCCTATTTCTATCCCCGCGCCCTCCCAGCCCCTGGCAATTAGCATTTTACCTTCTGTCTCTATGAATTTAGCTATTCTTTCTATAAACTTTTAATCCGGCAGCAAGACAGACCATTAATATATGAAACTGACTGGGCACGGTGGCTCACACCTGTAATTCCAGCCCTTTGGGAGGCTGAGGCCGGCAGATCATGAGGTCGGGAGATCGAGACCATGTTCGCCAACATGATAAAACCTTGTCTCTGCTAAAAATAAAAAAATTAGCTGGTGGCACTTGCCTGTAATCCCAGCTACTTGGGAGGTTGAGGCAGGAGAATCGCTTGAACCTGGGAGTCAGAGGTTACAGTGAGCCCAGATCTTGCCATTGCACTCCAGCCTGGTGACAGAGCAAGACTCTGTCTCAAAAAAAATAAAGAAAATTAAAAATATGTGTGTGTATTTATATATGGTACTGAAAAGTCTGTGCCCCACTTTGATGTGCTGTGAAATGTTTCATTCAGTCTTACAGGTAGAGGGATTGATACCACTGTACCCTACTGCTGCCACCCGCCACTGTCCAGGCTAAGTGTGTGAGCAGGACGTAGACACTTCAAATGGGAGGGAGAGCTGGTGTCTCCTGCTGATCTGTAGGGCTTCCCTAAAGATGAAGGACAAAAGTCCCTGGAGAGTTATCATTGCCTTGAAAACACATGGGGCTTAGACCATTGCTGTGACCCTTCATCAGCCCTGTTTGCCCAACTCCTGTTTGACACAGCAGGTTTTGCTGCAGCATCAAGTCTAGACTTGGCATCAAGGTCTCAACAAAAAGCTCTCACATCCCTGCTGCAGCCTCCCATCTACTAGGGTGCCTGCGACCTGATGTTTACAAAGAGATACTGACCTGCTTCCAAGAAGTGGTTCTGTTTTTCCCATTGTAACAATGACAGAGGAAGGAGATGGTTCCAAAAGAATATATTGTAAAGCCATATTTCATGCTGAGCTCATAGTAATTTCAGAGTGTGGTGGATTCCATTTGTATATCCTTATGTTTCATATTTGTATTTGTTTTAATTCTAGGAATACCAAGAGGACAGGAATGACCTTGTGATTTCAGAGACTGAGCTGAAACAAGTGGCTTACATTTTCAAATGCGAAAAGTCAACTCTTCAGATAAAAGAGAAAGTAAACTCCATTATCATTGGTAGGGCAGAATTATGGCTCTATGGTTATGATGATGTTATATAAATAAGTTGTATATATTTAGTGGAGTTGGTTTCTCGGTATTTTTTTTTTTCCCCCTAGACAACTGTAAGAAGTTTGCCCTGGTGTTTGACAGTGTGGTGGGCATTGTGGAGGTGATCAACTCCAAGGACATTCAAATCCAGGTGAGCAGCCTTTCCAGCCATGCTCTAAGCTGTGGCCTGGCACAGACCATCCACTCTGCCTGCAGGAAAGGGCCTTGCTCTCCTATGGCCACCTAAAATATTACCATTCCTGTTCCTTCTGGACCCAGCTCTGTCATCGGTACACCCCTCTCTTACTTCTCAGTGTTAGTTCCTCTTTTCAGTCTCTTCTAACAGATCCCATTTTATGTTTCCACTACTGGCACACCATCTCTATTTCAAAGACAGCTAACTGGCCTGGCTCGGTGGCCCACACCTGTAATCCCAGAACTTTGGGAGGCCAAGGCAGGCAGGTCACCTGAGGTCGGGGAGTTCCAGACCTGCCTGGCTAACATGGCAAAACCCTGTCTATACTGAAAACACAAAAAATTAGCCGGCCATGGTGGTGGGTGCCTGTAATCCCAGCTACTCAGGAGGCTGAGGCAGGTGAATCACTTGAACCTGGGAGTCAGAGATTGCAGTGAGCTGAGATCATGCCACTGCACTCCAGCCTGGGCAACAGAGTAAGATTCCATCTCAAAAAAAAAAAAGTTCAGCTAACTAATCTTTATATCCCCAAAGACTTGCACAGTACCTGCACATAGTAGGTATCCAGTAAATGTTTGTTGAGTATGATTTGAGTGAATCAGCTAATGCATGAATAAAAATACTGTGAGACTCTCCTAGTATGGTTAGTACCATTCCAAAGAGAACTTTTTTCTCAGAAAAAATTGGTCCTGGATCATGAGGAGGAAAAGTTTTTCTAAAACAATCAGTGAGATCAGAAAAACAACCTGGGAAGTAGGGTTGGAGTTGAATTTACAAAACAGAGGAAAATATGTGAATTAAAATCTTCAATAATTGTGTTTTAGCCAGATGGAATTTTATAATATGCCAAAATCTGAAGGACTTCTTGGTTTTGGCCAATTGTAACTTCTATCTTTTTTTTTTTTTTTTTGGAGACAGGGTCTTGCTTGAGCATAGACTGTAGTGCAGTGTTGTGATCATAGCTCACTGCAGCCTCAAACTCCTGAACTCAATTGATCCTCCCACTTCTGCCTCCTGAATAGCTAGGACTACAGGAGTGTGCCACCATCTGGCTAATTTTTTTATTTTTTGTAGAGACAGGGCCTAGCTGTACTGCCCAGGCTGGTCTCAAACTCCTGGGCTCAAGTGATTCTCCCACCTGAGCCTCCCAAAGTGCTAAGATTACAGGTGTGAGCCATCATACACAGCCACATAACTTCTATCTTTAATTACATTTTTTTCACATTATTATCCTTTACTATCTGATATTTCCTAATAATGCTTGTTAAAATTGGAATCTGGTTTTAGGGATCTTTATTTCTTTTGTGTTGTTGGGCTTCTTACCACTGACACTTTTTTTTTTTTTTTTGAGACAGAGTTTTGCTCTTGTTACCCAGGCTGGAATGCAATGGCACGATCTCGGCTCACCGCAACCTCCGCCTCCTGGGCTCAGGCAATTCTCCTGCCTCAGCTTCCCAAGTAGCTGGGATTACAGGCATGCACCACCACGCCCAGCTAGTTTTTTTTTTTTGTATTTTTAGTAGAGACGGGGTTTCACCATGTTGACCAGGATGGTCTCGATCTCTCGACCTCGTGATCCACCCGCCTCGGCCTCCCAAAGTGCTGGGATTACAGGCTTGAGCCACTGCGCCCGGCCCGACACTTTTAATTAGAGTATGTTTGAGTGTATGTTTTACATTTCACTGTCCATTAAGAAGTTGGGGCTGGGAACAGTGGCTCACACCTTTAATACCAAGAATTTAGGAGGCTGAGGCAGGTGGATCACTTGAGCTCAGGAGGTCAAGACCAGCCTGGACAATATAGTGAGATTCTCTACTAAAAATAAAAAAAATTACCCTAGCATGGTGGCGGGCGCCTACTTGGGAGACTGAGGTGGGAGGATCATCTGGGCCCAGGAGGTCAAGATTGCAGTGAGCCATGATCAAGCTGCTATACTCCAGCCTGTGTGACAGAGGTAAACCCTGTCTCAAAAACAAAAAATGGCAGTGAGCTAAAACAAGAATCCTTGCCCACATGAAGCCTAACATTCTGGAAACACTATCTCCCAGTTTTGTTTTCCTTTTTTATTTTGAGATGGAGCCTTGCTCTGTTGCCCAGGCAGGAGCACAGTCTCGGCACGATCTCGGCTCACTGCAACCTCCACCTCCCAGGTTCAAACAATTCTCATGCCTCAGCCTCCTGAGTAGCTGGGATTACAGGCACCCACCACCAGACCCAGCTATTTTTTTGTATTTTTAGTAGAGACAGGGTTTCTCCATGTTGGTCGGGTTGGTCTCAAACTCCTGACCTCAAGTGATCTGCCTGCCTCGGCCTCCCAAAGTGCTGGGATTACAGGTGGGAGCCATAGCACCCAGCCCCAGTTTAGTATTTCTGATCACCACATTTATTCATTTAATAACACCGCCTTCTCCTTAAACTATTATGCATGAAAATGTTAAGGAAGTCACTCATCTTCAGAAAAAACCCAGTACCTCAAGGATGATCATGGTTCATAGAAACCTAATGAGAACACACATTCTGAAGAGCTGTTTTGGATGGTGGGAGTTCCTATGTAAAAAACCAGGCTTTTGCCGGGCGCGGTGGCTCACGCCTGTAATCCCAGCACTTTGGGAGGCCGAGGCGGGTGGATCACGAGGTCAAGAGATCGAGACCATCCTGGTCAATATGGTGAAACCCCGTCTCTACTAAAAATGCAAAAAAGTAGCTGGGCATGGTGGCATATGCCTGTAATCCGAGCTACTCAGGAGGCTGAGGCAGGAGAATTGCCTGAACCCAGGAGGCGGAGGTTGCGGTGAGCCGAGATCGCGCCATTGCACTCCAGCCTGGGTAACAAGGGCGAAACTCTGTCTCAAAAAAAAAAAAAAAAAAAAAAAAAAAAAACCAGGCTTTTTCCCACTTTACATTATTTTTAATTTTATGAAACTAGAATTAACAATAGTAAAGTAATATTTGACGGCAAAGGTGAGAGGACATGTTTAACCATAGTCATGCAATCATAGTGTGTTACAGTTGAAAGCGTCTCAGAAATAATGCAATCTAACACACATACCACAGACACACCTTAATTTTAGAGAGTTTGTTTCAAGATCCCTCTTATTCTTACAGAAATTGAGCTTAGGTAGCAACGGGTGGAACCATATATAAGGAGTTCGCATTTTTTAATGTAAATATATCACATTCAAAATACACAACCAAGTAAATTAAGTATAAAACATGAAACCATGGAGAAAATAGGAAGTTCTAAATATTCATCATGATTTTGGGGGGAGAAAATTATTCTAAACCAAGAAGAAATAGAAGAAATTTTCAAAACAGATAGGCAGGTATGTCTACCGAAAAATTTAAAACTTCTGAATTCCATACAATGGAATATTGTGTAACCATTTTTAAAGTGATCTAGAAAGATAATTATTATATTTTATCAGGAGAAAATAATAGTCTTATACCATTATGTAGAGCATGATTTCATTCTTCTAAATGTACACATGTAAATACCTATATATGCACACACATATATATATATCCTAGGAAAAAGTCAGAAGGAATATACTACATTTCACAACTGAGTTAAGAGTTATCTGTGGAACTCCTGTAGCAAAAATCATACTTCATTTGAAGCTTTGAGATTCACATTAAAATCAAATTCACAGCAATGAAGATGCATGGTTAAAAAAAAAAAAGAGTAAGAAAATAGAGGCAGAAACAAGAAGAGAATCCCTTCTGTCATTGCTTCTGTTTAATAATGCATTATAATTTCTAACCTATGCAATAAGATGAGAAAAATAATTGAGAGATATAAAACTGGGAAAGGAAGAGACAAAAATGTCCTTATTTCTCAACAAAATAAGTGCCTTTATATAAAACCCAAGAGATTCAAGAAACTATAAAACTAAAGAAACATTCAGCAAGATAGTAGGATATAATATGAACATGTAAAAATCAATAGCATTTCTTTCTACCACAAATAGGTTTTAGAAAATGCAATAGAGGCTGGGTGCAATGACTCATGCCTGTAATCCCAGCATTTTGGGAGGCCAAGGCAGGTGGATCATGAGGTCAGGAGATCGAGACCATCCTGGCTAACAACGGTGAAACTTCATCTCTACTAAAAATACAAAAAATTAGCCAGGTGTGGTGGCATGTGCCTGTAGTTCCAGCCACTCAGGAGGCTGAGGCCGAAGAATCGCTTGACCCTGGGAGGTGGAGGTTGCAGTGAGCCAAGTACAGTGCATGGTGCTACTGTACTCCAGCCTGGACAACAGAGCAAGACTCTGTCTCAAAAAAAAAAAGCAATGGAAAATAAATGGAAATAGCTATTTTGTTGCTACGTGCAACAACACTGTAAGGAACCTAGCAAAAGATTAAACAGAAATGGGAGACAGTTACAATAAATACAAGAATGATGTTGTGAGGCCGAGGCGGGTGGATCACGAGGTCGAGAGATCGAGACCATCCTGGTCAACATGGTGAAACCCCGTCTCTACTAAAAATACAAAAAAATTAGCTGGGCATGGTGGCATGTGCCTGTAATCCCAGCTACTCAGGAGGCTAAGGCAGGAGAATTGCCTGACCCCGGGAGGTGGAGGTTGCGGTGAGCCGAGATCGCCCCATTGCACTCCAGCCTGGGTAACAAGAGCTAAACTCCGTCTCAAAAAAAAAAAAAAGAATGATGTTGTAAGTAAATGGACAGGAAGACATCCCTATCAATTGTCTTAGTTATTTAATGTGAGTTTAATAAAAAATTCAGCTCAAAATCTCAACAGTTTTAAATGAAAAATGGTCTTAAAATTCATTTGTAAAACAAATGGACAAGAATAGCTAAAACAATGTGAAAGATGAATGAGGTGAAGGGACTTGCGTACCTGATATTGACTCACTGTGAATGCTATATTGTTTGTGGTATACAAAAATTGATAAATGAAACAGATTGGCATGCCCTGAAATCAATAGACGCATAGATGGAAATTTGTATTTTAGGACAATTGATTATCCTTGTGGGAAAAAAATACACTGAATTCTGCCTCACTATGTATAATGCTAATGGTGAAAAATTAGCATTTCAACTTTGATAATAACATGTAGAAGAAAAATTTTATGCCTCAGAGTAGGAAAGAATTAGAGTCAAAAACCACAAACCGTAAAGAAAGGACTGGTCATTTTAACTACATTAAAATTTAAATTATATGTTTAACAGAAGACATCATATACAAAGCTGAAAGACAAGCCATTGACTGAAGAAAGATATTTGCAATGCAAATAATCAAAAAGGATTTGTATCTAGAATTTATAAAGAACTTAATAAGAAAAAGGCTGCCAGGCACGGTGGCTCACACCTGTAATCCCAGCACTTTGGGAGACTGAGACGGGTAGATCACCTGATGTCATGAGTTCGAAACCAGCCTGACCAACATGGTGAAACTCCATCTCTACTAAATAAAAAAATTAGCCAGGCATGGTGGTGCATGCCTGCAGTCCCGGCTACTCAGGAGTCTGAGGCAGGAGAATCGCTTGAACCCGGGCGGCAGAGGTTGCAGTGAGCCAAGATCACACCATTGCACTCCAGCCTAGGCAATGAAAATGAAACTCTGGCCGGGCGCGGTGGCTCAAGCTTGTAATCCCAGCACTTTGGGAGGCCGAGGCGGGTGGATCACAAGGTCGAGAGATCGAGACCATCCTGGTCAACATGGTGAAACCCCGTCTCTACTAAAAATACAAAAAAATTAGCTGGGCATGGTGGCACGTGCCTGTAATCCCAGCTACTTAGGAGGCTGAGGCAGGAGAATTGCCTGAACCCGGGAGGCGGAGGTTGCGGTGAGCCGAGATCGTGCCATTGCACTCCAGCCTGGGTAACAAGAGCGAAACTCCGTCTCAAAAAAAAAAAAAAAAAAGAAAAAAAAATGAAACTCTGTCTCAAAAATAAATAAGTACATAAATAAAATAAAAATAAAAAATTTAGAAAGCATATCTAGAAATTACCAAAACATTACTGCAGACACATTTTTGAAATACAGATATATGTGCCATATTATTATTTGTGGGAGACCATGATGTGTACCTGACCTTGAACTACCCCTGCATTTTTTTGGGTTTTTTTTTGCACTGGCACTCAATTCCAGTTCAGTGTCCAGTTTCTACAGAGAGAGAGGAGGAAAGAGAGAACTAGGGTGACCTGACCAGACTCCCCACAAGGAATTCTTTACATCACTTGCACCATCAATAGGAGTTGCTCCTGGTTTGTAGTCCAGCCTTTTCTCCACGGCGAAAGAAGAGATGTCTTTATCGCTTTAATTACCATGACAAGAAGGAAAATTATAGAGTTGTAATATGGTCTTTGGGTGAACAGTCTGCCCTTATGGAGATTTTAGGGGGGATGTCTGAAAACTGATTGTTAGAAGAGAAATTTAAAACCCATCAGAATTTTTATAGCACTTCGATATTTATAAACAATACAAAGAATCGCCTCCTCTTTTGTATGATCCTATTTATTTGTATAACAGGTATCCTGAGCCAAGCCCCTAGTTTTGGCTCCTGAAATGAATACATTTCAAAATACCTAGACATTCATCTCAGGTAAGCCTCAAATTTAGCCACTGAGATTTTTATCCGGCAAAGGACTTATGTGAAAAGAATGGTAGTGTTCCTTATTTAAGTTCAGGAAAAATCTACTCAATTTTTACTTAAGAATAGTTTTGCCTGTAAGTGACAACATTAGAACTTCTTTTAATCCCAGTTTCTTAGAGATTTGTCAAAAGTAAAATTTCAAGCAAATGAATGCAAATGCATCTTGTTTCTTTTATCATGTAATCAAATACATGTTTCAAATCCACTAACAAGGTTGTGAGGCTTTTTCTGAACATCTAGCTGCTGTTTCCAAATTAATCTCTTAATTTTGTCTCAGGAAAGAGACCATGAGGTTTGAGAATCCCCTTGTGTGGTCCTTTTTATTCTGTCCCGAAATGACACCTATCCTATTCTGCCTGAAGACTTTGCCATTTCCTGCCTCCCCAGCTCTGACCCAGTGAATCTTAATGCTTTGTTAAGCCCAAGTTAAAGCCAAGAGGAGTGGCGATTGTATTTCTTTGAGGGCATTGTTATTTCTGTTTCTTTCCTTTGGTCCCAGATTTTTTTCCCTCTTTCAGGTAATGGGAAGAGTGCCAACAATTTCCATTAATAAGACAGAAGGTTGCCACATATACCTCAGTGAAGATGCATTAGACTGTGAGATTGTGAGCGCCAAGTCATCTGAAATGAACATACTTATCCCTCAGGATGGTGATTATGTAAGTACCTTTCCAAAGCTGCCAAGAATTTTTCTTGAGCCTTCATTATTAACATTCTTAGAGATTGATTAATCAACTACCAACCCGCGAGCTTTATTTGCAGCATAATTCACAGGCAGAAGAGGCATTCAGGGAGCTGTCTTCCGTATTGCTTGCTGCCTATTAGCTTTTTGACTGTACTCACTCCTGGATTTGTGATTCTCAAGATAGTGTCCGAATAATTAGTTTAACGGACTAGCTTTTATCAAATAGCACAGCATGGACCGGGCACAGTGGCTCACACCTGCAATCCCAGCACTTTGGAGGCCAAGGTGGGCGGGTAACGAGGTCAAGAGATCGAGACCATCCTGGCCAACATGGTGAAACCCCGTCTCTACTAAAGATACAAAAAAATAAGACAGGCATGGTGGCACACGCCTATGGTTCCAGCAACTCGGGAGGCTGCGGCGGAAGAATCGCTTGGACCCAGGAGGTGGAGGTTGCAGTGAGCTGAGATTCAGCCACTGCACTCCAGCCTGGTGACAGAGCAAGACTCCATCTCAAAAAAAAAAAATAGCACAGCATGCATCTGAGTTCATACTATGTAAGACTAAATATTTTCCTTTACTCTGGTGGAGGTAAACAGGAAAGAAAGAGAATTACTTCAGAGGAAAAATGGGAGGACAGAGAAGAGATATTAAGTAGGCCTATTTGTGCAGCTTGAGTGAGAGGTTAAGTGTAAGAATCAGGAACATTTATGAAATACCAATTCCTGAATCTTGCACCCAGAGGTTGGATTAAGGAGGCTTGGGGTAAGGCCTAGGAATCTAGATTTTTAACAGGCATATTCAGTGATTCTTTTTTTTGAGACGGAGTCTTGCTCTGTCACCCAGGCTTGAATGCAATGGCATGGACTCGGCTCACTACATCCTCCACCTCCTGGGTTCAAGCCATTCTCCTGCCTCAGCCTCCAAGTAGCTGGGATTACAGGTACCCACCACCATGCCAGGCTAATTTTTGTATTTTTAGTAGAGACGGGGTTTCACCATGTTGGCCAGGCTGGTCTCGATCTTCTGTCCTTACGATCTACCCATCTCAATCTCCCACAGTGCTGGGATTACAGGCGTGAGCCACCACACCTGGCGCATATTCAGTGATTCTAATGCTATTAGTCCATCCAACAGCCCTTCTGAGAAACTCTAGCTTACAGGATTTGGCCACTGTTTATTTTCTTTGCTTTCTCTCCTCAACAAAGCTTCTAAAAGAAGCATACACATATTCTCACACGTTGAAAAGGGAGTAGAAATAAATAAGTGCATTTCCGGCTCATGAAGTGTGATGGATCTGCTAGTTGCTACTTGGAAGTGGGGAAATAAATACAGAGAAAATTCCTTCTAAGTTTCCCTGTGCAGGGAGGCAGTGAACCAGGGAAGGATGGGAGAAAACGACTTAGCAGGCATACGTCTGGAAGAGGAGCTCCCTCAGCCTGAGGGGTCAATTGCCAGGACCCACACAGCAGTCAGCACGCAGGCTGAGCTCCTGAAGCAGACAGCGTGACCGCTGCCATGTTCTCCCTTCCCCACCTGGCAGGAAGTTCTTCAGCTCCGCTCAGCCACACTTCATACATTACAGGCCAGAATTCATCATTTCGGTTTAAAAAACAAAACTCCGCAAGCCTCAGGCCATGCTTCACTAGTAAGTGTGTATGGACAGCCTAACCCTGAGCTAGAGAAGAATCCCCTCTTGGGCTCTCCACCTAAAAAAACTCCTGGAGAGCTAACGCCAACAGCTTCAGCATAGGAGAGCCAAAAATTGGAGGGAGCCCTGGCCTGTTCAGCTGTATGGGACGAGATCTGCTAAGAAAAGCAGTGGTGTTTGGATGAACACTGCAGACCAATGAAGCTGGAATCTATGGGTGTGGGACTCAGGTACCTGTAATTGTTAGAGATTCCCAGGTGATTCCAGTGGGGAGCCATCATTGAGATCCACTGGCCTGAGGGATGAGTGTGGCCAGGTGCAGTGTCTCATGCCTATAATCCTAGCACTTTGGGCAGCTGAGGCGAGCGATCACGAGGTCAAGAAAGAGACTGAGACCATCCTGGCTAACACGGTGAAACCCAGTCTCTACTAAAAATACAAAAAACTAGCTGAGTGTGGTGGCACGCGCCTGTAGTCCCAGCTACTCAGGAGGCTAAGGCAGGAGAATAGCTTGGACCCAGGAGGCAGAGGTTGCAATGAGCCAAGATCACACCACTGTACTCCAGCCTGGTGACAGAGTGAGAGTCTGTCTCAAAAAAAAAAAAGATGAGTGTAAGTCAAAACCTGACCGTTCATGATAAAAACCAAGGTCTTGCCTCTTACAGGTTGATTACCTTGTGACCCTCTCTCGTAGGTCAGTTACCTTGTGGCTCTCTTCATGTGTTCTCGGTTGGAGCTGGTAGGGAACAACACAGAGGCCTTGCCGTGGGCATTATGGTGTGGGAATGGATGGAGGGGATGACTCATCTTGAAAGAAATTGGTCTCCCAGGGAAGACCCGTCAGCGTATTACTAACCCCTCACTGCTCGGAACAGATTTGGGACAGCTGTAGTGCAGTTACTATCAAGGCGGCGCCCTCATCTGGCACCTTCCCTACCTGGCCTGGTTCCTGAGAACAAACACTAAGACTTGTCTACTCATCCAGAAGAGCCCCAGAAGGAATACTGGCTGCACAAACGCACACACGTTATTCAGATTGTGGCTTCTTTACTTGAAGATGTTTCCATTGCAGATTTTACTCAAGAAAAATACATCACTCATTCTAGCAAGGGCTTTGCCTTTTGTTTTATTTATTTATTTATTTATTTATTTGCTGGTTTGTTTTTTCAGACTGGGTCTTGCTCTGTTCCCCAGGCTGGAGTGCAGTGGTGTGATCATGGCTCACTACAGCCTCGACCACAATCAGTCTTCCTGCCTTAGCCTGTCAAGTAGGTGGCACTACAGGCGTGTGCCACCATGCCCTGCTAATTTTTGCATTTTTTGTAGAAACAATATCCCTGAGGACAGACAGAGACAAAGGGGAGGGTGGGATTACCATCCCAACTCCTGGGAGTCCTTCTGTGCAAGTCTGCCAAAAGAGATGCCAAATCCGAGTGGCTCTTCAGCAGCACTACACTGTGAAAGGTTTGTCCTTGTACAGTGGGGTCTCACTACGTTGCCCAGGCTGGTCCCAAACTGCTGGGCTCAGATGAACTGCTGGCATCAGCCTCCCAAAGTTCTGGGATTACAGGCATGAACCACCATGCCTGGCCCAGGCCTTTCCTTTTAAATGAATGAATTAATGGCTTCATCCAGAAGAAACAGTTGGATCCTACATCTGGGAAGATAGGTACCCATGTTTGTTCCACTGGAACGCCACAGCTTATGAGTGTAGGCATCAGTTTATCAGACACATGAGGTTTCAACAAGCACTGCGTTGACTGGAAGTCTGAGGAGGCCCGGAAACTGGGTCCAGGGCCTCCTTCCCTTGGAGAGGTTTTTTTATCTTCTTGTGAAGGTCTTGAGGAAGACCTATCCTTCTTCCTTGCTTTGGAGGAGATCTTCTATCCTCTTCTGAAGTGACTGGAGAATCACTCTCTGGGAAAGGAGAGTGTTGACTCAGACTACTTTCTTCTGACTATTCTCTATTATTCGTGTGTGTGCATTTGTATGTGTGTGCGTTTTCCAATGGGAAGAGTGGGTGCCATGGTGAAGGGTAACAAGCATATATAGAACCCTAAGCTCATTTTTACAATTTATCAGAGAGTAGAGAGCTACCTCTGGAGTCAAACCTTTCTTCTCCATGTGGCAGGGGCCAGCAGCATTGGCATCACCTGGGAGCTTGTTGGAAATGCACATTCTCATTCCATTCTCCAGACCTACTGAATCAGAATCTGCATTTTCCTAAGATCCTGAATCAGAATCTGCACTTTAATTAAAGATCCTGGGTCAGAATCTGCATTTTATTATTATTTTTTTGGGGGGGTGGGGGGTGGGAATAGACAGAGTTTTCTCTTTTGTTGCCCAGACTGGAGAGCAGTGGCACAATCTTGGCTCACTGCAATATCCACCTACTGGATTCAAGTGATTCTTCTGCTTCAGCCTCCTGAGCAGCTGGGATTTATAGGTGTCTGCCACCATGCCCGGCTAATTTTTTGTATTTTCATAGTAGAGATGGGGTTTTGCCATGTTGGCCAGGCTGGTCTTGAACCCTGTACCTCAGGTGATCCACCGCCTTGGCCTTGCAAAGTGCTGAGATTACAGGCATGAGCCAGTGTGCCTGGCCAGAATCTGCATTTTAATAAGATCCCAGTTGATTCATGTGCATGTTAAAGTTCAGTGGGGAGTAGTGGGTAAGATAGAGCCCAGGTTTGATTTCTGGATATGCTTCTTACTGGCCACATCATTTGAGGCCAGTTGCTTCATCTCTCAGGCTTTTGTTTCCTACAGATGACATCCCAAGAACTCCTAGCTCGTACGGTTATTATAAGAGATCTGCTGAGTTCACGTATGTCCAGTGCTTAGAGGATGCCTGGTTCATTATAAATGATGTTTTTAGCTTTAATGATGATACTGGCTTGAAGTGACAGAATTGATGACACGTGCTATATACAAGTCAGCACATGACAAAGACCTCCCCATGACGCAGCTTGCAGTTCCATCAGATTTCTTTGTCTGTCATGTGGCACAAATCAGCCTCTCCATCTGTTTGCAAAAAAAAGGCCTTCGTTTAAATCACTTTGTTGTAGTGTAAATCACTTTGTTGTTCTTGCCTTTTTCCAGAGAGAATTTCCCGTTCCTGAGCAGTTCAAGACAGCATGGGATGGATCCAAGTTAATCACTGAGCCTGCAGAAATTATGGCCTAACTTCCCAAGAGACCGAACCCCTTCACCTGAATACCTGAATCCCCCTATCAAACAAACAAAAAAGCAGCAGTGAAGAGCTAGAAGTCGCAGTAGCCCCTACTGCGTTAGCTTTGGCCTCCAGCGATTCTGTGCTATAGACACAGCACTGTTTCTGGCACGCCTCATGGGCATTTTGAAATATTTAACGTTTCCTCATGATTTGCCTTTGTGTGTGATTTTAGTTCCACGTGATGACTTGTGAACATTATGGATTTTAAGGAAAAAAAAAAGAATTTTGTTCCCCTCATATCAGGAACACAGTAACTGATAGGTAAAAAGGCTGCATGATTCACTTTTACACTTAGTTTCATTGCTAGTTAAAAAGTAATACCTTTGAGAATCTAAGATGTACATTTTTACCTTTTACACAATTTCAATATAACATAGAAGTAGTAGTGTGCCCTGAAAAATGTACACGTTTTTTCTTGCTGTTACCACACGTTCGCCTGTATCAGCGTGGATATCGTCAGCATGCGTACATATTTCAGCCCACGCTTTTAAAAGGTACGAATCCATATTAAGGACGAAATTCAGTTCCTTGGTCCTTCAAAGACCTGTATTCTCTGTAGTTACTAAAAACTTAAAATAAATTCTAATTATAACTATCCATCTGAAGTATTTTTCCACCATGTCATCTGAAAACTTACTTTTCTTGTGCGTAAGAGATTCTTATGCCAGAACATTAATCAGGAGAAATCGTTTTGGCTATGTAATACCTTGCAACTTTACTCTAAAATCAAGCTCAGTTATTGTTTTCCAAGTTTGAAGCTGTTAAATATCAGATGCCTTGTAAATTATGTCTTTAATGTTTTATTATAGACTGATTTCCTCCTTTCCACCTGCCAGACTTGCTAACCAGGCTCCAAAGTGAACATGAAAAAGCCATACATGTATTACTTCTCTTAAAACCTAAGGCATTGTCTTTTGGTTTGGCTTGCTGCTTCTATTTTGTAGTCTTGATAGTAGATGCTGCTTCAGCGTAAGAGTAGCTATGCTATTCCTTTGTATCTTTTCAGTACATAGTGCTGAAAATCTGCAACTTCTTGGATCACATTTAATGAATTATAGTCTAATGCTTGCAGGCCCAGTACAAGCATATATATTGTGCCTATTACAGCCTTTGGGATACATCATTTCCGTTTTTTAAATACCTTCTATATCCATATAGTATTTGAATTATTAATGCTCATGTACCTAGGTTTTGCTATAAAAGTTTTGTCTGTATGAATAATGTGGCTTTAGTAAATAATCATTTTTCAAACTGTAAACTTATTCTGAAATAAAGTAAAATTCTAATTGTTTAAAAATTCTGGATGTTAAAATGATTTTTTTCCACTTTGATTTGCCCCTTGCTCATGTGTCAGACTTAGGAAAGACAGCTGAGTCCTTCTGGTTGAATTAGAGAATTTATCCAGCATACCATCAGCTTCTCTGATGAATGGTGTCTCCTGTGAGATAGATAGCAGATAAAGCCATTGGCAGTTGGATTGACTGTCAGTCAGAAAATTCTGGAATTTAATTTTGTAAATCAAGTCCTCTTCACTGAGAAAATCCTCCTCAGAGATCTTTGTTAATGTAAACATCCCAGAACCTAAGTGATCCTATAAATACCATATATACATTATAAACATATAAATAACATAATAAATGTGTAAGTAAACTTCTAAAAGAAAAAAGAAAAGACCCTAAAATGGATATATTATCTACCCTAATATTGCAATAATTTCGTTTTAAGAAATAAATCCACTCACAATTCTTAGAAGCTGTCAACTGGCCTCAGATTTGATATCAGTCTTGAGCATGCTTCACCGCATATATTGAAAATCTGGACTTGAGCCTCAATGATTATTTTACCAGCCCTGTATTCCTTAAGCCCCAACCCCCAAGCTGCATACTGGTACTGGTCCGTGGCCTGTTAGGAACTGGGCTGCAAAGCAGGTGAACAGTTGGTGAGCCAGAATTACCACCTGAGCGCCGCCTCCCGTCAGATCAGCCGCAGCATTAGGTTCTCATAGGAGTGCGAATCCTGTCGTGAATTGCGCATGCGAGGGATCTAGGTTGCATGCTCCTTAGGAGCATCTAAGGCCTAATGATCTGAGGTGGAACAGTTTCATCCTGAAATTAGGCCCCACCCTCACCCCCAGCCCGTCTGTGGAAAAATTGTCTTCCACAAAACTGGTCCCTAGTGCAAAAAGGCTGGGGCCTACCACCTTAAACCATCTACTTAAGTAACATTAAGAGTAGGTTAAATTCAGCTGGTGATACTGTTGGGAATTAAAAAGGAAAAAAGAAAAAAAAAAATAGTAAGTTGAATTCTGGCTTATGCCTGTAATCCTAGCACTTTGGGAGGCTAAGGCAGGTGGATCACCTGAGCTCAGGAGTTTTGAGACCAGCCTGGCCAACATGGTGAAAACCCATCTCTATTAAAAATACAAGAATTAGCTGGGCGTGATGGCACACACCTGTTAATCCCAGCTACTTGGTAGGCTAAGAAGGAGAACAGTTTGAACCTGGGAGGTGGAGGTTGCTGTGAGCCGAGCTCACTCCACTGCACTCCAGCCTGCGAGACAGGTACAAGACTCCATCTCAACAACAACAAGGGTAGGCTGAATTTGTTGAAAAACCTTTGGCAATGTATAAGTGTTGTACTGGAGCGAGCATAAAAAGTCAACACCAAGACAAAAGTATGCCAAATGGCAGGGTCTTTATTGCCGGCGGCCATGGAGGACTAGGGTCTCTCCAACCCATGGCCCCAAAAGGAGGGTGTCAAGACCTTTTATGCCCGTACACCACCTCGGGGATAAGGCGCGGGGGTGAGGGTGAGGGGCTTCAGACATTCTGAGGGCCAGGGGACTTTGGACATTCTGATTGTTACTTCAGTGGTTCACAGAAGTCAGGATAACTGTTAGCCTGGGTAGGGTGGAAATTACAGACCTTAGTTACTTAAGTCGCAGGGGCCAAGATGCTGTGTTTGGACTGCTTGCCTGCCACATCAGGGTTACAAAGAGCAGTTTCCACAGAAAGCCGAGGCATGATTGAGGTATACGGTTTTATGAGGCTTTTACCATGTCACGTTTATTTACAGGAATTAAATCATTAATTCCTCTAGTAGGGATATTGTTTGTTCTAAGGGGGGTTTGCTATATATAGGGATTTACAGCACGGATTAGGGTGGCGAGGGTGGGACCTGGAGAGTGCCCGAGTCTTAGCTTTCCTGAATCGGAGGAGGAGTGTCTGATGCTCCATTGTCCTCTTGGTGGGGCAGTCTTGACGTGGGTGTGATGAATCCAGGCCGTTAGTCCGTCCACCTTGAGCGTGGTGGGTGTAGTCAGGATAACCCTGTAGGGTCGTTCCAACGGGGGGGGGGGAGGGGGGAGGCCGGAGGTGGTGAATCTTTTAACAAGGACAGAGTCTCCACAGAGTCTCCAGGCTGGAAGGGGTGTGTTGGCTGCTCTTTGAGGTCCAATGGGGTGGGACAGGTGTCCTTAATGAGCTGGTGTACCTGGGATTGAACAGACTGGAGCGCCTGTAAGGACTTAAGGAGTGTATAATTACGGACTTCAGCACATACCGTATCTGCGGGTCTGGGGAGTAAGGGAGGGGGCCCACCGAACATGATTTCAAAAGGGGAGAAGCCTTTCTGATAGGGTGTGCCTCGGACGCGGAGGGGCACAGAAGGAAGCAGGCTGACCCAGTTTTCTCTAGGATAAACTTTGTCAGGGTTTCTTTTAGGATCCGGTTCATTCGTTGATGTCGTGGACCGTCCGGGATGGGTAGGCACGTCTGCCCGGGGTCTCTCGACCTGCAAGAGGGTCCCAATACCTGGAAGAGGGAGTGCGCCTGGAAAATGAATAAAGACAGAGAGAAAGGGAGGCGTCTGGAGGGCTGATAGGCTGTGCCTAAACAGCAAATTTTATTTTTCAAAGGCCAGGAATAAATACACTTTCTTGGCTCTGGTTTACCTCATAGCAAGAGGAATGCAAATGTATGCCTCACATGGCCTATACAATAGAGAAGTCAGATATTCAATCAGAGGTTGTAAAAAGTAACAGAATTTCCTGTAATCACAAAGTTTGTTTGCATCCAAACATTATTCACAAAGCTTGTTTACATCCAAACATTATTCACAAAGCTTGTTTACATCCAAACATTATTCCTCCTGGCTGCAGGTATCTCTGGTTTGACCTTGTTTTAGAACTGAGATGTGAAAAGGTTTTTGGTTTTGCTCATCAGAATATCTTTTAATCGGATTCTCCTTTGTCTACTCCTGACTCAACTTAACTCAACTTCCCCATTCAGGAATCTCTGAGTCAGGAATCAAAGCCATCCCTTATGGTGGCATTTGCTTTACAAATATCGACAGTTAAACCATTATCTAGGGTACAAGGCAGTCGGGTAAGTAAAGGTTAAAGGCTTATTCTTAAAGAGTCATAAAAAGGTTAAAAGCAGGAACTGGTTGCCGGCAGGGGGTCACTCGGTCTAGCAGCAACGCATAATTTTAGGCCCAAACGATATTGTGGTTGATATTAGAAACTGATCATTCATCTTTCTTCCTATATTTCCGGATAGCTCGACTGCCTCCAGTAGGAAACTGTGTTTGGGATCAAACTCACCGTATAGTGAGACTCACGCCTTTTAGGGGTCTCACACGGGAATGTTCCCCACACAACGTGTCCTGAACTCTGGGGACGATAGGCACAGTGTAATTTCCAGGATATACCCAGGGCCTTGGCTAGGCCTGAGAAATTTGTACAGTAAAGGCAGGCCTATTGTCTGACTCCAGCGTTAGAGGGAGGCCGAACCGAGGAACAAGGTCCTGTCATCGTTTTCTTGTGAAAACCAAAGCAGTCTCAGACCTAGTGGGGAAGGCCTCGACCCATCCAGAGAACGTATCTATAAACACTAGGAGGTATTTATAGCCATTTGCCGGGAGTTTTATTTCAGTGAAATCTCCTACCGGGTGCTCCCCAGGGCTAGTCCCTCTGAGTCTCACTCCTACCTGGCTAGACCTGTTCCCTCCCGGATTTACTTGGGCAGGTACATCACATGGAGTGGTAATTTTCCTGATAAGTTCACGTAAGTGGTGGGGGGGGTGTAGTATGTGGCTTTTAGCAGCTCAGTTAGTTTGGTCTGTCCTGCATGAGTGGCCTGGTGTGTGTCCTTAGCTAGGGCCCGTTCTAGAGCCTTGAGGACCACAATCCTTGTGTCCGGTAGACTCCACCATCCTGTGGAATCTTGTGTGCCCCCCAGTTCTTTAGCAAAGTTTTCTTCATCAGGTGAGTACGTGGGGTAGGGGGCAGTGTTGGGGCCGGCAGAGTTAAAAGAAGAGTCAGAGGTTTTACTGGTCCCGAGGCTGCGTGTCTGGCTTGTAGGTCAGCTGCCCTATTTCCCCTCGCCTCTGGTGAATTTCCCTTCCCGTATCCTTCGCAGTGCATTAATGCCACTGCCTTGGGCTTCCATACAGCCTTTAGTAGGGCTAGGATTTCCTCTTTGTTTTTGATGGTCTTTCCCTCTGAGGTAAGTAGTCTTCTTTCTTTATAAATAGCCCCATGTACATGAGCCGTAGCAAAAGCATACCAGCCATCTGTGTAGATGTTGACAGTTTCTCCCTCCGCCCAGTCTAAGGCCTTTGTCAGAGCTATGAGCTTTGCCTTTTGGACAGAGGTTCCCTGTGGAAGAGCCTGGGCCCAGACAACCCGCCCTAAGCTGACTATGGCTGCCCCGGCATATCTGACTCTGCCGACCGTGAAACTGCTGCCATCTGTATTCAGTACCTCCTCTGGGTTCTGCAGGGGGACGTCGGCGAGGTCCGGTCGAGCCGCGTGGCGACGTCCATCGTCTGTTGGCGGTCGCGTATGGGCTCCTCCGGCTCACTGTCTGGTAGCAGCGTGGCGGGGTTTTAAACTGTAGCCTTTAAAAACTTTGTGTGGGGCTGGTCCCAAAGTAAGGCCTGACATTGAACTATGTGGGCATTTGGTACCCATTTTCCCAGAGCTCCACGGAATAGTGACTCCACCGCGTGGGGTGCCACTAAGTTTAACTCCTGCCCCAGACCAGTTAGTCTGTCCGCCTCCTTGACTAACAGGGCTGTAGCTGCCACCCAGAGGTTATAGGATCAAGTCTTTTTGAAAGGAAGGCGACTGGCCGACACCATGGTTCCAACGTCTGGGTGAGCACCCCCTAAGTGACTCCCGGTTTTTCATGCACAAACAACCGGAAGGGTTTAGAGATGTCTGGCAAGGCCAAGGCTGGGGCCGCAGTCCGGGCAGTCTTGAGCTTGTCAAAAGCCCGTTGCTCTATCTCTGTCCATGT